ATTGCTTAAAAATACAAATTTATCTGGCATTTTAAGCACTCAGTAAATACTACTCAGCATACCCACTGCTTTGGGATTATTTCTATGAATAGTATTCAAGGGCCTTAATGCCCTTTCCCTTCCTTCTTTTCATAATGCTGGCTCTCTTTTTCCCAGGACTGATCATGTCCAATGGCCAGGTGTGGAAGGAGCAAAGAAGGTTTGCCCTGATGACACTGAGGAACTTCGGTTTAGGAAAGAAGAGCTTAGAGGAACGCATTCAGGAAGAGGCCCGCTACCTCACCCAGGCAATAGGAGAGGAGGACGGTGAGTGTGTCACAGGACAGGTGCAGGAGACTGCGGCTCATTTCTTCACTGACCGGATGCTTAATAAGTGCCCACGTGCCTGCCCTGTGCCCAGCACTGTGTAGGGTTCTGAGGAGTTAACAGTGAACAACTAACCATGACCTGCCCTCATGGAGCTGGAGAATTAGACACGAGAAGATGGGTATAGAACACATTATTGATTTTAAATCCTGGTTGTCAGTTTGACTCCCAGGCACTGACTGGGTACTTGCTGTAGGTCAGACCCTGTGGAGGGTGCTGGGGTTTCAGTCTCAGAGGTGGTACTGTACTCAGTGTGTCCTGTGTCGTGTAGGGTAGACCCTCAGAGGAAACAGAAAGACACCAATTCTCCTCTGACTCCAGGACAGCCTTTTGACCCTCACTTCAAAATCAACAATGCAGTTTCCACTATTATCTGCTCCATCACGTTTGGGGAGTGCTTTGACTATAAGGATGATCAGTTCCAAGAGCTGCTGAGGCTGTTGGATGAGTTCACACACCTGTAGATGTCAATATTCCGCCAGGTGAGACGTTCTCACTTCCTACCGTGGATAAGGGTATTGCGCTGATGTCAGACACAGATGAGATGGGGTCTTCTTGGTTTTGTTTTTCAGTCTAATACATAACCTTTTAAAATTGTCTTTGACACAAACATATTTGAAATCAATCTGTTGTATTTACTGTTTTGGATAACTTTGTTAAATATTTACTACAGACATATAATACTATTAACATCTGTGTAAAGTACAAAACTCCACATGACATTCTCTTCTGAATGGATGTTGTTTTCTTTAAAAGGCACGATATCTCCATCACCTTTGAGTCCCTCCCCTCCATGTCCCTTCCTAACCCCCCACGTCTGTCCTCCCTCGGAAGTTCTCTTCTGTGCCCTGTGCTCCCTGGGCACATTGTTTTGAGATTCATGTATGAGTTGCTCTTTTTAGAAGTTCTGTTTAGTTTTCCATCCTGTGAATATAGCACTGTTTGCTGTTCTTTTGTCT